GTCCAGAGGACCTATACAATTTTTTTTTTTCCTTTTGATTTTTTTACCTGGATTACTGAGATGCATCAACGCTCTGTTTACATTCAGACATTCCCCTTTGACATCACTTCCTGTTACTTCACATGTAAATATCTCAACAACAGTTCATCTCAGCAACGCGAAATTTGTTTTGCAATATTTTATCAATGTTATCGTTCCAAAAATGCATATTAAGTGTTTATTACAAAAAATTGATGTCACAGGCACTTTAAATCTCTGTAGATAAAAACATTTATATATCAATAATCTGTCAGATAAATTACGATTATTTTTCATTTTTCATTTCTTCTCTCCTGCTTTCCACTCAGATATGGCCAATCTGTCCCTGAACGACAACGACGGCTCCAGCGCCTCGGACCAGGACACACTGGCCCCACTGCCGCCCCCCGGTGCCTCCCCCTGGCCCATGATGCACACCTTCCCCTATCAACCGTACCCCACCCACCCTTACTCCAGCCAGCCCCCTCCGTACCACGAGCTCACCAGCTACAGCTACGCCCCCGGCAGCACCGGCAGCCAGCACAGTGAAGGTCGGACCACTCTTTTATTTATTCAGATTTATTTGCTGAAAATATGTTGTTTATTGCTTTTTTAGCTTTTATGAATTTTTCAAAGATAACCAGACAGCAGCAGAAAGTTAGGGTATCTAACCCTGGTCCTTGAGGAACACCGTCCTGCATGTTTTAGGTTTCTCAGCTCCAGCACACTTGAACCGGTTTCTTGTGATTTAAAGCAGTCTCTGAATCAGRTTTGCTGGAGCAGAGAAACAAGTAAAACGTGCAGATAGTGGCCCTCGAGGACCAGGACTGGACACCCCTGAATTAAAGGAAATAAAAATACAACTGAAACGGAAACCTTTTACACCTGACAAATGATGAGGCATCTCTGACACTGAAACATAAACATTGATTGGATGTGATTTAACACACTTCAGCCAACCCGCTAATAGCAGAACTAGCTTCTCATTTAGTGGATTCACTTTTTTGCTAACGTTGGAAACAATTAGCAAATCTATTAGCTTCTGTTAAAATTAGGTTCCACTAATTTCAAGTCCACGAAAAAATTGACAAGTGTCAAAACTTCTATTTTATCCTGAATTCTTTAAAACCTTTCCTCTCTTACAAGCAGTGTGTGTAGCATGTAGCACCATTAGCAGCTAAACTTCAAACTAGGAGAGACAAAATAAAATTTACAATATTTAAAAAACAAATACAAAAATTAACTATGTATAAAATATGGTTTAGAAAGTATTTGTTTGACTAACTTCAAACTCAATGAAAGAAATGCTTTTATTCTGAAAGTATCACAACTTAGACAGCTATAACCAGAGATGCACATAAGTGGTGCGCAGGTGCGCATGTGCGATAAAAAGGGAAAAAGCGCACCAAGACCCAGTCACACCAGTGAGGTTGGATTTTTTGTTTGTTTGTTTTGTTTGTTTTTAAGAAATCAGGTCACATTTGCGACCCTGCTAGCTGTTTTCACAATCTAAGGTACAATCTCAGGTATAATCTTAGGTGTGCAAGGGAGCAGCGGGGCACTGGTGTATAAGGATTAAACGAACACTGCTTTCAACAAATCAGACAAACTCCAGAGCTGTTTTATCCAATCAGAGCAGAGCAGGGCGGGACTTACAGTGAGAGCAATTTTCAGCAGAGACAGTGGAAGTATGGAGGTAAATTTGTGTTTTTATTATTCAATCAAACAAAAAGC